AGCGACATATCCTCTGGGTCTTGAGGGTTTTCGACCTTGCCCTAACTGGTGGTGCCATTGGATTTGGTTGATTCTGGCTTAACAGTGGACTTCTTGAAAACCGAGTTTTTGAGCACAAGGCTTTCGAAAATATTGAAATTAAAAATATTCGCCGTTATCACTTAACTTTTTAAACAAGCTCGTTCGATAGAGTTCACTTTTAGCTATTTAAAACAGTTTTTGTTTTAGAAAAACCCAAAATCTGAAATCTGAAGGTTTTTTAAGAATTTCTTTCTGATCGTGTACTTACAGTGGACCCAACATAACTTTCTATTTGATGTCGAAACCGAATTCACCATGATGATCAGGAAGATTGATAAGGTATGTTTCCGCACTCCTGCATAACACAGGAAGAAAGTAAGGGACACTCCGGAAAATGAGTACCATCGAGTCCCTATATAAGTTGTAGGTCTCGGATCTGCGCCAGTTCGTAATAAAGTAATGAGACCTATCTCTTGTAAGTGTTAAATCTAAATATATCCGTTCTGTTCTACTCTTTGGATCGATGATTTGCTTAAATACCTCTGGAAAACCACCTCGGATTTTAAGTGCATTCTATCTACTATCAAATAATGAAATAGTAACATTTTTGGAACTCTGTATTTAGCCATCGTAGAAAATCTTCTAAGAGCCATCAGCTTTCAGTCCAAATCCCTTAAAAAACCTTCAGATTTTGGGGTTTTGCAAAAAAACTGTTTTAAATAGCTAAAAGTGAACTCTATCGAACGAGCTTGTTTAAAATGTTAAGTGATAACGGCGAATATTTTTAATTTCAATATTTTCGAAAGCCTTGTGCTCAAAAACTCGATTTTCAAGAAGTCCACTGTTAAGCCAGAATCAACCAAATCCAATGGCACTACCAGATAGGGCAAGGTCGTCAAAACCTTCACGATTCAGAGAATATAATATGCGCGTGTCGTGTTTAGGCTCTAGATAGTTTTTAGCTGATTTGGAAAGAATTTTATTGGACGAAAATTTAAACACGTTTATCAAATCTTTTAATATTATTCGTGTGAAAACGAACATAAAACTAAATCCATTTTAGTGTTGTTTCATTGCAAGGTGTTTTGTTTAAGCAGAAAATGGTAACACTTTTTAAAAAATGCGTTAACATTAGTTGTATCATTCCATTGTTTATTTTTGGCTCAGGTAGACAACATTGAATAGCTCGTTTGTCTGAAACTTTTTAACAAAAGAAATGAAATTATTCTATAGTATTGATTTTGTCGCAAAAAATTCGTGTGCAAGATACAAAAACGGCAAAAAAGAGAGATAATAGGTTGTAATAATTTTTTCCTTTGTATTTCACCATTTTGAACATTGAGCAATTCTCTATCGAATGCGGTACAGAAAGTTTGAAAAAAACGTCCGGCAACTTGAGTTACAGCTGCTTCAACAAGAGCGGACCCAACCCAAAGTCCGAAAAAATGTTTTTTTCTATTTATTGTCTTTTTTTTGCAATCAACAACTAAAACCGAACTAGAGGTTTTCTCACATCTTTTATTCCATAACTTGTTTTTCTCCTATTCCCCTGTGTCTTTATGCAAAGCCGGGGTAACGTCGACGCTAATCTCAGAGGCAAAATAGAATTGAAAGTTCACTGGTACCGACCGACTTATGAAGCTTATATAATAGGAGGTAATTTCACACAACTCTTGCAATCATACTCACGACCAACTTAACCACCATATGTTGTATTGATACCAGAAAAGATTGTGGTCGAATTTTGATGACATAGTTGTTCACTAAAGAAACATTTCGTGTCTGTATCAGAAAGTAAGTAACTAGGACGAGGCACTTCGATCAAAATATTCGGATATACCGTTAACTCAAAGAGAGGTAAGTTTTTCGTAGTTATTGCTGTTTCGTTGACTCCCTGCTTCTTTTATTCTCCTTCACAAAAAGTTTTTTTCTTTCTTTATCACTGTTCTGTTGCATGTATCTACTTCAGAAAACATAATGAGATTCTTCAAACTTGATTTTCATCCTTGGTCTTTAGTGGTCAAGGAACGAAAATCCAAGTCGTAGAATATATTTAACAGTACTCATCTAAATGTATAACAATATTAGTCATCAAACACAGTAGTATAAGAAGAACTGAAAAGAGATAAGTTTTGGATGTCGCCAAGCATGAAATTTTACAAGTCAGCTAGTGACTACTTCAAACCAATTTTCTAATGTACAAATCCATAAAAATGTTTGAGGAATTGATGTTTAGACTGATCAAAGTGCCGTATGGAACAGATTACCAGTCTGATATCGGAGAATCATGAGAAATACTTTCACACAGAGAACATCTCGTAGATGCTTTATGATTCTCTTCTCTCAAACAGTAAGATACCCGTAATTCAAACTTCAAGCAAATTTTTTTTGACTTAATCATACATATTCTAATTCATCTCGTCGAGCTGATCACGATTATCACATTTTTACTTCTATTGAACTGCATCTTCAGGAAGAAAAACTCCGATTACGGAGAAGGTTGTGAAAACCCCAAACTTTTTTGTTTTCAGGAAAAACGCCATAAGTTTGTCGCTTTATTCATGTAACTCTGGAGCTGCTATTTTCAGATTCCTTATGAAAAACTGTTTTTTTTCGAAAACTCATTTCTTTCGAAATTTTTTGTTGATTTTCAGTTTTGGGTGGAAATCTGGGTACTTTTTCAACGTGAAAATTCGAAAAAAATGAAAGTAATCGGATAAGATAAAAAAATACGCATCATTCGACTCAGTTTTTTATTCTGATTCTGAATGTGATATTTTTATTGCGCAAAAGTTGATTTTTGATCGAGAAAATTGAGAATTACGTTTTCAAAAATTTAAATACATGGTTAGTCCCATTTTGTCAGGGCTTATAAATGAGATATATATGAGCTCAGTCGGGAACCATAAGATGTTGGCTAAGATCGGTATTTTGTCGATTACTTTCTTAGTCAGTGTAATTTTTTTCGGTTTTTAAATGTGTTCGTTGACAACAGGTTTCCTGAAATTTAAATGTGTTTTTACTTTCACATGTTTTAGTGGAACTGTTAACAGTAAAAAAGATCAATAACATATTCATATAACACACATCTACAACATTATATGCATAATAAAATATCGTACTCAAAATAAGCTTACCATCTTCTCTAAAAAGGAAACAGATCGACTAGATAATTGTAATGGCCCTCATTAGCTTAAGACTCTCATTGCCACAGGCTATTAATCTTGTCAATACAAGACCAATCGAAATGAGACTTTCAGAAATTGCGGGTCATATGAAAATCATTTTTTGAGGTAGACGTTAATATAACGTAATTCAAAACAAGGCTGTTCGTATTTCCTAAAAAACTCTATTCAGATAGATGAGATAAAACTCGATCCGGTAGATGGAAGCAAATACATATATCTAGATAAAAGCAGAGCCCGATGAACTGCAAGGTATGATAGATCTCGAAAGTGGAAAGTGCAAAATAAAAACGTAAAACACTTTTTTTAGGAACATTCTCTCATGAACTTTGATCAGAAGATAATTTATATATTCTTTTTATTAATTTGATCCAATACGCATGCACCCCATATATAAATGTCTCTATGGGCATGCTTCTCTAAAACTATTCCTTTTTGCAGACTTTTTTTCTCATAGTGTTTCTCCAAACCCATGAAATGTGTTCTTGGAGACAAGGTTATTAAGGCAATTAAACGAGGAAACTATGGCCTATCACACCATGTTTCTAAAATTTAATATTTTTGACGAAAATTGTTATTTTTAATAAATAATACTATTTTAGAGTTACGTATATAATATTTAACGTTGTATACAACAAGATCTATTTATTGCTTAGAATATAGCCTAGGTATTATACCGTACCAACTAAATAAAGCTGTATACTCTAGTGCTTTATTAGAGGTCGATGACTGATTGTGACGTGAATGGAAAAAAATCTTAGTTTTTTTCAAGTATCATCAGGTATCAAGCTTATGTCGTTTTATTACATCTTTCTTTCATGAAACTTCAGTATTTCTATTTCTTTTTGCATTCATAATACGAAGAGTTTACAGTGTATACAAAAACGATATATTACTCGTTTGTCTACAGAATTATATAATCATTTTCTCTTCAAATCGTTTGACTGCTATGGATGATTTATCTGCATTAACGAATAGAGCGACGATAAGTTTTTGTATTATAGATAGTTTGATGAGATACGTACACACTACTGTATTCATAATATTTAGAATTGAGACAGATATCAACTTGATCTATGTTTAATTAAAGTCAAAATGAATCCATTAAAAGTCTGTAATTGCTGTTTGTTCGATAGTGAGTTCAAGTTGTTGTGGGTATGTATGAGTTTATTGATTTGAACAAGAGAAGAAATTATCAATTCATTTAACATTAATGATGTGTTAAGAGAAACACATTAGACCGAACAAGTATATATCCAGCGGATAAAATATTTTAGCCATTTCTAATCCAACTGATTACAGGTTTCATGTCATGGATACCTATGTATGTCTTACGAAAAAATTTCAGATTTTGCTTGTGGAGAAAGTCTGTAAAAAAAACGATATTATTATTGTTATAGTAGGCGTATGAGCTGTTTTAGATAGTGTTATCCTCCAGAGGTGGACGTACTGCTAAAACATGAAATATTTAATATTAGACAAAATAAAGAAGCATATATCGCCAATTTCTTGAAAATTTATATAGCACATTTATTTTTTTATCTCATATTCTTGTGTTTTCTATTGTAAGGGTAAGATTATTTAAAACATTTTTTAGATTCACGTTGATTATTTTTAAGAATGTATTATATATCCTTCCACATTAACCGTTCCAGTTTTTGTCTTTTTTTTCTATCGAAGACGACAATTTTTTTCACCAAATTTCGGTAATATTCTTTCTCATTATTGCGTGCTAGTGTATATATTAGAATGTATTCATTTATTAAATGAGAAAATAATAAGTGTGGAATTTGTTTACTTATTAGTTTTTGTTTTCAAATATGCTGTAATCATTTCTGCTTTGTGCATCTTCAATCCAATACGTTCTGTTAGAAACCATCTGAAATCTTGATCATTTGAGTAAACTAAATATCGTCCAATTAAGCCGATCGTAGTTTGAAGACCTGCTCGTTTTAAAGCATCCATCTCACTTGACGTGATTATTGGTAGAACGTTGGATATCAATTGATGTTGAACATTGTGATGTCCAAAGAATTGTGGTGATTGTTCAGAAATTTGAACAGTACCTACTTTCAAACGCTCAAATGGTAATTTTCCACGTTTGGACACTAGTGAATGTGAAGTATATTCTGAAATATCAGAAGAATGTGTTAAATGACGTTTTATTTGACATTTCACGAGATTTGATGGTAGAGCTAAAAAAATCAATTTGTTGATAAAATATAACAGACGGTGCGATAGATTTTAGAGCCATTTTTCTAAAAAAATTCATAAATAATAAATTGTAATAAATTTTGTCGAACTACAACAATCTACCTGCAAATGATTTCTTTTTGATTCGACCACCTCAAAATCTGCTCAAAATTTGGTTACTATAGAAGGTCTGCATTATCGCATGAGCTATGAAAAATAACATTTTCTAAATCTTGTCTCGCAATATTCGGTTTTAAAAGAATTTTAAATATTCTTTTATTGCCAAATGGGATGAATTTTTAAAGACATATGCATACTTGCTTTCTTTCTGTATGATACCCTTCCTCGTTTAATCGTTTTCTGTTTTTTTATTGTTGTTGTCAATTTTGCATGTATAATACGTTTTCGTTTAACTGAAGTGGTTCCATTTTCACTTTTTCTAGACAATGTTTGACTAACATCATTTTTTGTTAAATTTGAGAAATCTTTTTGAATTTCTTTATCAATTGATTCTTTTGGTGGATAGTCGTTACGTTCTATACCTGTCAGAATCGGAGTTGTCGCATCAATGGCGGCAGCAGCAGTTGGACAAAATTCACCTAAATACATTTAAGACAAAACATTTTTCAGTAACAAGAATCGATTTGATTATCGCTTCCTTTATCATAAAAATACTTTAGTGAGATTTTTTCAAAAAGATGATAAATCTTGAAATAATTGGTGTATGTATGAAAGGATCATCTTTTTCTGCTAAAATGCTATGATTTGTTACCCGACGGAGCTACGATTGTAACTCCATAATCAATAATAATGCAGTCGGATATAATTGAATCTTTTCTAACTCTTATAATCTATTACTTACTTTCACTATTTGTACACTGTATGGCTGCATCAGTAACCATTTTACTTTGCGTACAACTTTTTGCTTCCAAAGCAGACCATTTTCTTATGAGATATTTTTGAACATTTTGTTGAATATTCGGATTCACTTGTATATTTTTAATAATACTTGTGTTTGAACTTTTATGTTCTGGATGTTTGGCAGATGCTACTACTGTTGATATACTTGACAGTAATTGTTTCATAATATCAACGTTGAAATTAGACAAATTGTTACTATTATTGTTTAACAAGGAAGATGATAGTTTTTCATTATGCATCAATAGATGATCATACGAAGTTTTATATGGATGACAACACGAGTTGCGTGTTGTTTTTATATGAGGAAAATGATGTCCACATAAATAATTATAACGATGATGACTATGTTGATTGTTGCTCATATTCATTGACGTATGCGGACATGAATTAGGAGATAGAGAACACGAAGGGGAAGTGCAACTCCACTGAGAAGATATTTCACTAAAATAGCTATAGTTAGTTCATCAGAATATATTTCTCCTATTGTGACTATATTTCTGAATAATAAGTTGGATTATTAAAACCCAACAACTAAACCCTATGAACCTTAAACGCTGTTTGTTACCATCAAAAAAAATTAGCATTAGAAAATTAATTTATTTCAGAAATAGTCGTATTTGAGAAACATATGTAACTATAGGTAAGAATCCAAATATTGTTGCTACTCATATCTGTCCAGAAAATTAATTTGATTCTTAAAGGATATCTATCATTTTTTACATTTGGGAACACGTTGTACTTTACCTATGAAGTTGTTCATCTATAAATTTATTTTTTTCCTTTGTATCTAAAGTAAGTTCAACATAAGCAGGTACAATGGTTGTTTTCTTTTCGTTATTTGGTTTTAGCTGAGTTTTTGTACAATTGAGTAAATGTTGTTGTTGTTTTCTAAGTCCAATCAATTGTTCAAGATTTTGCAGTTGTACCGGAATGAGTATCCAAGATGATTGCTGCATAGGTGTTCTAATCGATGTAGATGCTGTTACTCTATTTGAGACTGTTGAGGAAGGTATTTTCTGTTGTTCGAAAGTTTGATTGTTGCCATATTGTAAAGTGGTTACTGTCTCATCACTCATACTAGGTTTTGAATGTGTATCTTTTGTTTCTGAAACAAACGTTTGTAATTCATCGACAGAATTAGAAACGAGTAACATTAACTGTTCAATCAGTTCTAATTTTGATGATGATTCTGTGCATTTAACAAGCGAATCAGTCATGAGAGTGGTTGCTAATATAAAAATAATTTCAACTAAAATTAATTTATTTTAAAACGAGTTCAAAAAAATCGTGTGCTATTTTTCAACTATTATTTTCAGTTATTTTTTTTTCTTCTAAAGTCATTTTATAGAGAGACGCGCCTCTTTTTATCTCTAATTTTTTATTGTTCAACTTAAACTATCAATTTATTTGTGAGCACTTCAAGCTGATATATTACACATAAAAACATTGTATTATAGTAAAAGTCATTGATCCTCTTATAGTAGTTTTTTAATGAAGATGCATGCGTAGTATTGAAAACATGTCATCATAAATTTACTGATTTATTAGAAAACAACGAGATTCAGTAGTAGACAGAAAGATGGATAACAGAATTTGATACGAAAACAAACAATATTTTGTTCTTTTTGTCAGATAATTAACTGCTACTGATGGACAGATGAGTAATTACTAAAACAAGTTCTAATGTAGATGATGAAAATACAAAATAATTCGGTAAGTTTTATGTCTAAAAATCACGAATAAAATAAACGTTTGTTGTTGCTTTTTACTCTTGATCGATTTTTGTCATGATTTATAATCAATTGTCTAGAAAAATTCGGTTAAAATGACGAAATCACATTAATGTCTAATGTCGAACAAAAAAAAATGGTTATGAACTTTTTTAAACTGTTTTTGCACACTCTGTTCGGGTTGATCAAAAGAAGAAGAAAAAAAATTCCGAGATGATATAACATTTTTTTATTTGTTCTCATAACCAAAGTCAATTAGCGCTTCTTCTCTTCTTTTTTTCATGTTGTTCTCCAACACGGCTTGCATTATCTGTAATAACAATTAATTAAAATGTGTTATTGGTTTCAATTATAAATAGAAAGCGTTTTTTTCCTTTCTCTATTTTTATGTTTTTTTCTTTTCTCTTTTTCCTTCTATTTATTATCATCCGGAACTTGCATAATTTATCTCAGTAAGTGTAATTTCATGTTTTTCGCTTTTCCGGAGTGCGGCTATAATTATGAACAGAATTTCAATTCGACAAATGAGGTATACTGATCCACTTTTAATTAGATTAACATGTTTTCATAACAAAGAGTTTTATTCCAGTTAAAATTAAGTTTCTTTATTTATTATACACTTAAAAATTGCTGAAATTCTAACTTTTGTTTCCTATAGTTATTTGATATTAAAGAAGATAAAGTATTCCTAATATTTCATAACAAAAAAATGAAGGTGTTAATGTGCTATTCTTTATTATATATATAAAAAAAAAAGAGAACGTTTTTCTCACATTGACGTATACCTCCTGGAACTATAATAGACAGAAAGTCATTAATAGCACAGATTTCTAATAGATATACGAGTAAAAAAAATTTTGAAAACGAGTAGTTTATATTCTTCTTATGAGCCATAATGTATAGACTCATTTATATTAATCTTTTATGCTTATAAATAGTAATTGCACTTTTTTTTTTTTTCTATTTTGTATGTTTATCATGACTTCATAACAGAGAATAAAAACCTTTTTTTTTTGAATTTTTTACTTGCAGAATAAAAATTTGTAGAATGATAACTATCCTGCTCTATATCTAATACAATGCGTCATCATCAATTCCCATTAAAGTTAATATAATTTGTGTCAGCAAATTGAGACAAAGACGAAAAGATTCTCTTTTATTTTATGACTCTATTATTTTATAGTTTCTCTCTCTTTCTCTTCTCGTTGAAAAAAACAACAACAACAAAATACAAACTATATGTTGTTCTCTCGTCTCAATGATTATAATTGACATCGGTATCATGTATCTACTCATAATTTTTCTCAAAAAAAAAAAAAAAAAAAAAAAAAAAAAAAAAACTCGTCATTTTTGATTCACAGGACGTGTGTTCTCTCGCATTTTTTAGATGTAATCAGTGGTTGTTATGACATGATTCTCAAAATATATAATTTCATTTATTACTGTTAATGGTTATTAACAACTATCTTGTTCATATTTTCCTATAAATCGACATCCATTTTGATCTTGTGCACAGTTGTCCGTCTCTCCGTTTTGGCAGATAACTTTTATCATATTGAAACGGAAAATTCACTGTATATTTATCAAACAGACAGAATTTTAAGTAAACGTGTGATAGACCAATATTTTGATCAAAAACGAACGAATGTTATGTTGTTTTAATTGATAATAAAAAATGTTTATAAAAAACTGTAATTTTCACACTAATTGTCTCGTCATGTTTGAGAAGTATTATTTCTCTTGTTACTGAATAAATATTCATAGCTAGCCGGCTAGTTTTTTGTTTGTGACAATTATGGTCAAATTTATTGATGTACGTACTGGAAATGTTCCGTTCTCGATTTTCATTAAGAACTTTCATTTTCGGTTCTTCATATGGAATCAGAAATGCGATTACAATTTCATTATCAGAACCGGCATCACGGTGTTTTTTTTATCGGTTCCTTTGTTTCGAAATCGAAACTTTTTTAACCACAGTTATTACAGTCAGTGTAGAAGCATTTCCCGATCGGAATCTATGATTTTTTACGTTTGTTAAATTAAAAACGAAGTCCAGTTGTGTTTTGTTCTCCCTTGTGTGGTCAACATGTGTGTGTTATGGCTTTATAGTATATTATAGTTCTTTGTTCTTCTAACATACGGAAGAAAGAAAGGAAAATTGTAAGAATTGCAGTATAACATAGAGAGACTCGTTTTGATAGTAAAAGTTTATTCAACGCAGCTTTTCTTCTTCTTATTATTAAGTAATAAAACAAAGATAATTATTATTATCCTTAAAAAAACGTCATGTCATCAAATAAACAACATCATGTAGGGCCTATAAAGGCAACATTTAAAAAAGATTTAGTTAAACGGGCTCAAAGTAAATACAGACGTCGTGAGGCGTGAGTTTTCTTTAATTTTATGTGACAGAAGTCAATGAGGGGAGGATATTTCTGAGCTTCTTAAAGGGAATAAATTTTTAATTTGATGTTTCTTTCTTTTTTTTTTCAAAATTCCTAACTCGTCTGGATTGAAATAGAAAATATTACAAATTTTTTGCCATAGTTCATCTTCAGACAAATAAAACATTTTCTAACAGACTCTCTGGTTACTAAACATTTCAACATCGGCTGCAATGCGTTTCTCAGTCGTCCAATCGTGATTGACGAACTTGACTTTACCTGAATATTTCACTGAATGTCGCTGCCTTATGCATGTTCAGAGTAAGAGAAAATGCCAAAATATTTCGAGAAAGCGTTAAAAATAGCTAGTAATGGTTTGATGGTCATAAGGTAAACTTCTACACAACTTCCTTTTACATGAGATAGAAGAACGTTGTTCTAAAAATAAAAAATCCTTTCGTTTTCAGATAAAATGAATTTTATTTCATTGAATCATTACTGCTGAAAAATTATTTCTCGATTCTAACTCGAGAATCCGAATCGCGGTTTCAATTCTGGAACCGAGAATCGAACATCCCTAGTACGTACGCTTTACTTAGACTTGTTGTTTTCCTAAACGGTATGAGCTTTCAAGAAGAGATTTTCACAACGTTTCAGTGTGTATGTACAAAATATCAGTTTCAAAATTTATAGGTCTGGATTCTAGAATCATATAATAGTAAAATCACAAGTGGATCAAGTGAGACAAAAGTATTTACAATTTGACGTAAATTTATTCTCAATCTGAAAAGTTGTACCCATTTAGAAGATATGATAATAACAAATCTAAGTAAAACGTACGGACCGTACATCAATAAATTTGACCATCGCTCTGAGACGTCATTTTCAAGCTTTCATATTGTAAAATCCTATCAGATATCGCGGACAATCTCTATGTTTATCAATCTTCCTTCTACTTGAATTGAGAGCGAGTAACAAAAACACAAAAAAACCAACATGATCTTAGCTATCGAGCGTTGGTTCAACCGTCAGCGCCGATCCATGCCCACTTCTTTCACTTGTTAATGATGTGCCAAATTCCCATGTATCGGTATCAGGATCGTAGACTTCGACGACTGATGAAAAATTTTTACCATCATAACCGCCTAGAAAGAATTAAAAATAGAAAATTAATGTATTTCAGAGAGTAGCATTAAACTATGAGAAAATAACTACATACCCATTGCATGAATTTTTCTGTCTAATAGTACACAACTGAGTGCACTTCGTCTACAATGTAATGAACGTACAAATGTCCATTGATTCGATAAAACATCATAACGTTCAACTGAGTCGAGTTGAGTTGCCACACTGTCGTTTGTCGTATAACCACCCACAACATAAATCAAATTTTCAAATGAACAAGCACCTAAACAGATAAACAAAATTAGTCAGATATTGTTGGAAAAATGATGATCAAAATAATATTTCACCTGCTCCACTTCTACTAATCTGCATTGGCGCTTCTTTTGTCCATAGATTCATATCGGGATTATACGATTCAACATCGTTCAGTCGTTTTGTTCCATCATATCCACCTAAGGCAAATAGAAGACGACTATTCGTTGTGACAGCCAAACCAATCCGTGGTGTATGCATTGGACTAACAAATTCCCATGAATCAGTTTTTAATGAATACCTAAATAAGACTCGTATAAAACGTACAATCGTTCATTTTACAAAAAACTATGTTACCTTTCAACGCTGTTATGAAATGTTTGTCCAGATGAACCGCCAAGAGCATATAGCGAATTATCGATTACCCCAACACCCAAACGATTTCTCGGTAAATTCATCGATTTACATATTTCCCATTTATTTTGAAACGGATTGTAGCGTTCAACATCGGAACAATCTTTATTGTCACGACTATAAACATGACGCAATACTTTTTTATTATATTGTTTGGTAAGAAGTTATTTCCTCATTTTGAAGGATACACTTGCAATAAAGGTAAATAAATTAGACTCAGATACTTCTCTACATCAATTTTGACATTTTATCTATTTTCAATAATCGAATTGTATTTTAGAGCAAAAAAGTTTGTCTATTTATGGGTAATCTGCTTATGATTAACGCAATCCTATTTCTTACCTTGTGTTGTGCCTTCCACCAATAACATAGACTCTCATTTGTAATGATGCGACTCCAGCGCCACTTCTTGATACTGTTAAATCAGCACATCGTTGCCATGTTCGAGTTTCCAGAAAATAACATTCCATTATATTTATTGATTTATTAAAATAACCACCGGCACAATCTATAAAAATCACGAAACCAATCATTCTTCTGTGCGCGCGACGTTCGAGCGCAACGGCATTTTGGCGCATGTACGACAAAAGCATTCAGTAAGAGTGCATTTGTTAAAGTATGATGCATAACGATAAAATTTTCTTTAAACAAACTTGGTACGATGTGAGAGCTTTTTCTATATTACTTATATCCACTGTAATCACTGTTTGTTTAATCTTTATCAATACTCACTCTCACTGGCGTCTTTGAACCTCGCCCAAACATCGGTGCCCAAGTGTCGGCATAGCTTCTATTTTTTACCAAAATGAGTGACAGCAAGCCAGAAATTTTACTTACATATGACTAACGGTTTAATCGGTTGTCGTCTGGGTGGTAATCGACAATATGTGTGTGATGTTAATTTATTGTATACTTGTGATAAATACTCTTGACATTTACGCATATCATCACCGCCATAAATTTCATCACATTTGGCACGTTGAAGAAACGATGGATCCAAAAAATACAGACGAACGCATGGTAATAAACCTTCCAGTTCTGACCGTCTTTGAATAGGATCATGACGAACCTTAATAATACAGTAATGGAAAAGAATGAAAACAATTCCACTATTCGTTGTTTATGAAACTTACCCACTGCATGACAGCCTAATAGGAAATAGAAAAAACAATGAGATTAGATATTAGGCACGTTTTTTAGTACATGTACTCAGAAAAGTACGCTTTTTTTCTAGCGGATGTCTAAAAAATGTGTGTTTTAGAGAAACTACCTTTTTTTCCCGAATAAGACTAAAAGTATGTGAGTCAAAAACGTTAACTTTCTTCTGACAGTGTTATGTTCAGTTAACTATGTCAAGATTTTCTTCGAATACGCATTAGAGAGAAATTTCACATATAGTTGGAGCAACGAAATAGATAACTATTCAATACCTGATGATATAAGCACTGTTTGACCTTACGTGACGCACTTTTCAACTGAACACTCGATGTTCACTTACATTATAGATGATTGATTCACATTTGACTTTGACTTTATCATCTTTGATCATATTGTAAAGATCACTTGCTGTTAAATTTAAAAATTCTTCATTTCTAACAACATCTTCAAAATGATCATAAACATAGTTTTGTGCTATTGTTTCCAATTGTTCACACTGATATTCTTTAGCATACAGTAACAATCCTACACAATTACTTGAATGAAGTTGATCAACCAAATAAGAAATACACAGGTCCGATAATGAATTCAATTGTAAACAAAATGAACAGGTGAGTAGAGGCAATACATTTTTATCATTGAGAATAATTGATGAAGTATAAAGAAAATCAATGATCCAATTTAATGCTGACGCACATGGTATTGTTTTTGTCATATCAATTTCATCGAGTTGCGATTCAATTAGATTACTATCGAACATTGAAGCGAAATAAGAAGATCCGGCTGACAGAACAAGTTTATGTGCACGTACAATGTGATCATTTATTCTTAAGGAAATATCGGTAAATAGATCTCTCGAACGATAGTCACTCATTTGAGCTAACATTTTCAATTGACGATTTTCAGGTTTGACGGAATATAAGCGACCACCATCGTTCAACAATCTCATAGTAAAATGTCCCATGTCAAATTCGGATAATTCATTCATAGACGGAAATGAGTGTTGATCTTCTACTGATAGTTCTAAGGATACATCAGTATTGTTGTTGTTGAGTACAGGAGTTATAGGAGGAGAAAATAAGGAATTACTATATCCATCGAATAAGGATGAGTGACTTGCCGTAGTAACAGTATTCATCATCATTTATTTGCATTAAAAACGATGACAAGACAGAAGTATCAAATATAAAGAAAGACACAAAGAAAAGAAAAAAATGTCATCCTCTAAGTGCACACACCTACGAGCGTGTGTAATAAAATAAACGTGGTTCAATTCTGAGCACTAAATATGATGAAATTGAAAACAGAAGTATGCATAAATAAAACTGTCCATTTGTACCAGTGATGATACCAAAGAGACGCACTAAATTCTCCTTTTTTTTTGTCCCTGCAATATCGCCCTTCACAACGCTTTTTTAACTGTCTTTAACTCTGTTTTTAACGCATGAAAACAGAGCATACACACGGCAATTTAGAGATGAATCTCTGCATATGGCTGTTGACAACAAGAATGAGTTCATTCATATAAAGAAACAACATTAAGAACATCAGAAAGTATTCATTTACAGGTTTTTAGATAAATATATTTCATTCCCACTATCACAAATCCAGTTTCCAACCCTAGTGAACTGTGAGTACAACTTACTCGGAGAATAAATTGTACTCATTGTACTCAGGAAATACTCATTCACCTATTTGTTTTGCAAAGATGTATAGCTTTACATAAATTTTCACTTTAGAAAGTTAGAATTTTTGCGCTAGTATTTCGTCAGAATTAGAGATGCACTCATCTATGATCGGACTCATAGCCAAACTCTGAGTATCTCACAATATTTCCTTAAAAGAATAACAAACGAAAAGGTGTTCAGAAATATTCCTGAATATTATGTAAAATCTCATTTGAATTCTCATGAATACTCACATACTCAATACCCACACACGAGTACTCATAACAGTGATGAATGAGTAAAAAAATGCATGAGTAATCATGAGTACCCATTGTATTTTCTATATGAATACGCCCACGAGTACCTATGCTTGAGTACCCTCACTAGGGAATCGTTCTCGTTCAAATTTAGATTTCCAATATTTTGTATTTCTAAAGAAAATGTACAATATCATACAGAAAGACTGACTACAACAGCTTTTAATCTGATTCATTACGGTATTTATATCCATAAAAGTTACTAATAGTTCTTAATACAGACATTATCCAAACAATACAAAACGATCAACATCTTTGTGATCCTGATATTGTTGCGTTATAATAAAGTAACGTCGAAGAAAAGTTTTATCCTTTATAAAATTGTAAAGGAAACAAATACACCGTCACATAACTCGAATCAGACTACTTCCTCCATACATCTATTATTCCTCTGTCTCAGAACGTCAGTCTACCTCAATGATTTCATAGAATGAAGTGGAATTGTCCTGATCAAACATTAGTCATTTGATTTTGACAGAGAATAGTTCCAATATTTTCATTTGTCATATTTCCACCATTTTGGTATTTTTGTGACGGCCCCTATGACCTCTATATGCTCAATAGTTCTAAAAAAAAGTCGCTCTGAATAAGTAACAAACAATCCATATATTGTGATTCCAAGTGGAGTCAGTTTCCACTGAAATTTGAACGAACAAATGTATAGTAGCGATATATTATAACAGTTGCACCCCATCAGATATAATCGTGTAGTAAACTAACAACTTATAGCTGTTAGGTAGAAAAATAATAATTCTTATAGAGAGTTGAATCTTTAACAAAAATAATGATAATATAACTATCATTTTACTGTGTCCCAGGTACACACGTGTTTACTCACCTTTATTTTGCACAATGAAACTACGTCGTATACTATTTGGAACATGTATCGTGGCTGTTTTATGCATATATTACTTCAATGATAAGTTTGAATTGTCCGAAAGAACTAACTTTTTGATCTTCAATCAAGAGAGATATCACGGTAATTATTTAGATTAATACACGTGCAAAGCCATGCATACAAAGTTTTATTCTAGGTGCTGACATTGGCGAGAATGAAATATTTTTTGAAGGTTGGTATTATAAATTAGTGGATGCAAAACGTTTAACACCGCTTATAGTGATTGTTGGCATACTAATAAATCCTATTAATCAGCATTCTAATAGTCAATCATTTATCATGATCGCTTATGAAAATTATTCTAATTACTACCGCTTTCCTCACACTTCTTTTATTTCTTCTACGTCTCACTTTAGTACCACTGTCGATAAAGTCAATCATTTTACTCTTAATTCAATTCAACTAGATTTAAAACCAAAGTCCAATGATGATGCTCAGTCATCGATTAAAGCCAACATTCAATTTTCATCACCTCTATTACCTATTCCTCAAACAATTCTCTCACCTGGTACAATGGGACCCTATTCTCTAGTACCCACCATGCAATGTTATCATCATGTTGTAAGTATGAAACATCAAGTAACAGGATCGATAGAAATTGATGAAAAAGATATAATTGAACTGAAAGAAGGCAGTATTGGATATACAGAAAAGGACTGGGGAAGAAATTTTCCTGAAATATGGATATGGGGACAGTCAAATCATTGGAATAAGGATGATAGGGAAACAAGTTTATTTTTTTCATTTGCTATGATACCATGGTATTTTAATTTAAAATTTCCTGGTTTTCTAGTTATATTTTATTATAATCAAACATTCTATCGTTTTACAACTTATTCTCAATCGTTTGTTCACCGTTTAATGATTGATGAGACAAATCAACGAATCTCATTTAATCTATACGATCAATTGTTTAAATACAAACTTCGTGTTATTCTCACTTATCAACATCAATCTTCTTCTATTGCACCAAAAGCAAATTTATACGGACCACGAAATGGAAAAATGGAAAAATTCGTCAATGAAATATTAACAAATGCATCGTTTGATGTGAGATTTTCGAAATTAATTCAAGATCAAACAGCATTTATCAGCGATGATGAAGACGATGAAGTAAAGTTATTTTCTCAACATGGCATTTATGAGAATGTTTTGTATCAAGCGAAAGCTGATCCAGTGGCTCTAGAAATAACAGGAAATGTTAGTTGGTTAAGTGAACAATTGCATTCAACATATGGAAACAGTTATCCATGGACGTTTTCATTAACAAGGGTTCTTATGGAAATGATCATCTACATTAAAAATAGTTATATTACTATGATACTCGTCACTGTTTTTACGTTGTTGGTTATTTTTCGTCGGTAACATTTCCTAATAAATGGATGTTTATTTCTCACAGGTCTCGGCGTATTTTAGCTTTTATTTAGCAGAACCGATGATTTTCAATAAAATAATTTGAATTGAAGACATACAAGATTACGTAGTTGACGGATCCATGAGTCTCAATAGGCTTGAGCGTCACTAGGTTTCTAGAAAAAAATAGATTTTCCTCTCCTGAACGCTTATGAATTTTGGATATTCAAAAAAGAAAGACTTCTACATGAATGGTGAATATCGCAGTCTACATTATAGTTCTATAGTCTTTTTAACTTATTCGTGAACAAACATTTCATACTAGCTCAGACAAGAATTTTTTTAAATAAATTCATACTACCGTCGAGTGAGAAAAATGTTGAGACTTATTGGGTTTCTTCGTCGCCTGTGCAAGATGACCGAACATGCTCACGTCAGGTCCTCTCTATTCTAATATCCTTTATGCTTCCTAGTTCATAGTGCCCACTAACGATTTGTATTAGTAATCTGCCACAAGCTAATCTATGCTTCGGTATTAGTTGAAAAACTGACTTTTTAGCGTTCTACTACATTAGAATATGTCCTATTTACGGGATGCCGGCCAGAATAGAGCGAGAGTAGAAAGGAAAACCAATATGTAATCAATCAAAATCATTGTAATCCACTCACGAAACTGTTTCACACCGTCAGTTAACACGTACACATCGGCTGAACTAAGGATCCCTTAACATCTACTTAGTGCGTTACATAAATTAACTGTAATACAACTCACAGTTTTCGATTGTATGTCAGTTTTCCTTATTATTCTATCCTCACGCGCCTCCTCTTCTTGGATTGTGTGAATGAATAAAGAAGAAAATTTTCACTCAACCTTTTTGATTACCTCGAACCTGACACAGTCCTAGGCTCGGGCAGAACCCAGGATCTCGAAAAACACTCATTAATGACCAATCTAATGTTTTCCTAAAATGGACGTTTTTAGGCTATTCAGGCAATTTTTTGGACCCTTTTTATGTATTTAAACTGACAACGTTTTAATGTCTAAAAGTAGCAACTTTATTACAATCAAACAACGAACATTTTATGATGTTTGTTTCAAGGTCGCTATTGCACCATTAACAACCTATTGTTTGAACATTTTCTGAAGTCAGTTTTTTTCTGGCTAGTAGCCTCACAAAGACTGAATTCAGAAAGATCAATAGTTCTGGTTCCTTAGAACCATGATACCATCACTGATATCAGTGTTAGAACTAAAGACTAGCCCGCGCGAAAAGTTTTGATCACTTATGTAATCGAAGAAGACAAAAATTCTAAGTTTCCTTAAAAGAATTAGAGGCAAATTTATATTACTCACAATAGCGAAACAAAAGGGTGAATGATTTTCTACAAAAAATCACATGTGAAAACATTGTCTTATAAAAAAAGCCTAAATCAAGGAAAATTTTTGTTCAACGGGCGAGAAAATGATTCTAACCGGGAGGTTGGAGTGTTCCATTGGACTGAACCGGTCAATTTTTTTCTTTATGCAGTGCATGAGGTACTAAATGTCAGTTTTCGTTGACCTAGGAAGATTTCCGATTGAATCAAGTTCTAAACGCAAGTAAACGGGAGAAGGACTTTTTTCGGCTTCTTTTATTCTTGTCCTTAATGTCTGTTTCTTAGAGTTTATATGTATTATATAGTTAACTGTACTGTAAAAAGTACACGTGTCGTGGGGTACTTTCAAAAGCGATCAATATCATTAATAGATTATCAACAAAATGACTTTCGAAAACGAATTATAAAGATACTTTTTAGATGCACTTTTTATTTATTCAAAGTCATCTGGAAAAGACTTTAGGCAAGGATCTATTGTAGCAGTGTTATTGTATTTTAAACTTTAAGTGGCTTTATCAATTCTCGTTGAACGCCATCAGTGGCACCAAACGTCCCAGCATCGTGTTTAGTCCAGTTCTCACTACCAATCCCAGACCTTGACCTTCCTGTACTACGAAACCAGCAAAACACAAATTTTTGGTTTCCATTATATCCTCATTTGTTGAGTTGACTGTACAATATCGTGGATACGAATCCTTACTAGTTAAGGCCATCATATAGACAGTCAATAGTTGATTATCGTTACATTCAATAATACGAATATCGGCCGGTACAGTATCATTCGTCTTCAATTGAACCAAATCGCCAGGAACCACCTCCACACTTGAAATTGATACCACATTTCCATCACGAATGATATGACATGGTGAAGGGAAAGAATAGAATTCGTTTTTAATTGGTTTTCCGATGCATTTAACGAGTGCATTCTTCACTTTTTTCATAGTTGTTTTATGATAGGCGATTTTATTTTCTCCATATTGAATGAGTAAGCGTTGAGCGTCAGTAGAAGTCAAACCAAGTGATTTTGATGGCTCATCAATATTGATTCTACTTGATGGATACTGTGCGGATAGTTCAGAAAGAGAAAGTAAATGTTCGGTGATAGTAGCGTATGCCATACCGGTTAGACAATAACTAATCTGTTTGAATGGACTAACTTTAATATTGCAATTATTGGGTAATTACTATACACATGTATGAAAAAAGAGAAAGACAAGAGAGAGTAACGATGTAATGTCAGTAAATCATCGCATTCATACACATAAAACAGTATAGCAAAGAGTATGCATCGAAATAAGAGTATGTTTCTGGTTGTGGTCGATATTCGAACTCGAAAAACTGACAACAACAGACATCCTATGAAAGTTTTATATATTATGAATTTTCCATTCGGTCATCTAGCAATGAATGTGATAGAGACAATAGACATGTTTTTTGAAAGATTAGTAGATATTATAAAGAAAATACCCAACATTCACATACGCTAACGGTAGTTATTTTTGATCTATTAAATTGTTTTTTTGAATTGATTCTAACACCTATATATACTTCAACTAACCCGTAAAGTCGAAGTCATTTTTTTTGTACGTATATATAGTCCGTAACGGCTAAGATCTCAGAAAAAATACAGAAGCATCTAAAGTAAGTTGAAAATCGTGATAGTATTTGTGCACAGTATCCGTCAAATAGAGTCAATATTGATGAGCCATCAAAATCACTTGATTTGATTTCTATTGACATTCAACAGTTACTCATTCAATATGGAGAAAATAAAATCGTCCATCATAAAACAACTATGAAAAAAGTGACGAATGCACTCATTAAATGTATCGGAAAAGCAATTAAAGACAAACTCTGTTCTTTCCCTTCACCGTGTCATGTCATTCGTGATAGAAATGTACAGCGTCGCAAGACACATTTTATTAAACAACAAACATTTGCAGTCTGCAAAAGTTCTTTAAAGATGGAGCTGGAACTGAGTAAATCTCTACAGATTTATCTAGATCTGCATTTAACAGTTTTCTCGTGAGAAGTTTAAGCAGAAATATCCTTGACGTCAAGTACATGAAATTCCTTTTTGCGGAATTATGCCATTTTCGGATAAACTAAGAGTCGGGGGCCAGTTTCTTTAAAAAACTTGAAGTGAAAAAATAAGTCACACTTAAGTCAAACTTAAGTTTTGATTTTAGTGCTTTTCTTAAAAAAACTTAAGTCAGGCAGAGGTCATGCAGCAAAAACCATTCGTATTTTAGACAACTTAGAATATTTTACAGCAATTTGTTGAACAAAATCTCTAAAAAATTATGCTCAGTCTAATTATGGTGGGTTGAGCGGGTTACTAACCCGTGAGGCTGACTTCAGATAGAGAAGTTACAAAATTTAAACAATTTTCTACTTAAAAGTTTAGGTGAAAACTTAAGTGAAATCGAGAGTTGACGTAAGTTAAGTAATGTTTGAGAAATACACTTAGCTAAAAAATTTGACCTAAGATGAATTTTTCACTTAAGCTTTTTTAAGAAACTGGTCCCAGTTTGTAAACCATATCATCGGAACAAAAAAAATAAAGTTGGTTTAGAATTGCTGAAAAGTGATTTTTCGTATTCAGCACACTCGATAACCCAGAAGATTTTCTATTTTTGGCTCGGGGTACTTCCGAAAGTTTAAGAAAAATTTTGAAACAAAATGGCGCAAAAAGTTTTCCATG